AAGCTAATCCTTCCTTCCCAAATCCAATTGCTTCATTTTTCTCCTAAAAAATGAATTAAACAACAAACATCTTTTATTTTCTTCTCTTCCTTTATAGTCAATTACAGTTTATTAGCCTTCTACATAAATGAAATCTTTTATTTGCTCAGACAACAAAGCACAAATCAATCTTGAAGAGAGATACTATGAAAGTCAAGATGAGTATGAGTACCATTAATAAGATAAGCCTGATCAACATATTACAAGAGAACATGAAAGCAATTGAGTTTAGATAAAGCAATTGATCGATGAATTATTAAAACTCAGTCTGACAGAGAAAACTGATTAAATGCCTCGATACATTGGCTGTGACATAGAAAAAGATGAAGAGAATAAATGCAAGCAGAGTTAAGAAAATCCAAAGCAAAAGCCAATCCAAGAAGAAGATGGAGAGAATAAATGCAGTTAGAGATGGGGAAATCCAAAATAAGAGCCAATTCAAGGTTTGATTATGCTCTAAAAATCTCATAAATCCAAGAGAAGCAATCACAACACGAATCACAGAAAATGCCTAAAACACCTCAGTACATGGGGACGTAACATAAAAGAAAATGAGGAGAATAAAAGCAAACACGGCTAGGAAAACCCAAAGCAAAAGTCAACCAGGGTTTGATTATACTCCAAAAATCTCATAAATCCAAGAGAAGCAATCACAACATCAAGAACCACGATCATAGTACATTTTAATCTCCATATTGCCTACAGAAACATAATATTACTTTAGACCCAAATTTGTAGATACAAAACAAAAATCAAAACAACAAAAGAGTATTTTTTAGTGGTACAGTTATAAGACCAAAAAAAAAATTCACGTTAATGAGATAACAAGAAAAACTAGGAAAATTTATCGATTTGATGATGAATTTGGTAGGTAGTAATAATACTAGCTAGTATGAGTGTGTGTACTTGTGTGTGAGTTGGAATATGTGAGTCTACGATAGGTGTATGGGCATAGATTTGTTTGATGTCAACCGTTGATCGGGAAGCTTTAAGATCATGAGGCTGTTTTTTCTATTAATTCTTTCTCTTTAGGGGCCTCTTTTGTCTTTTCCCATCCCTTTCATGGATTTTTGTGTCCTTTCACCAAATTTGCATAGATTTTTTGAGCATTTCATTTTTTTTTTCTTGTGCCCCAATTATATGAGCGCATATTCGTCATGATATTAAAAGTAGAAAATACATGTGAATAGGGATGGCAATGGGGGCGGGTGCCCGCGGGTGCCCGCCCCGCGGGGGGCTCACGGGGCGGGGGTTGGGGCGGGGGGTGGGGCGGGGGCGGGGGTATACTCCCCCGCCCCATCCCCCGCCCCGCCACCCGCAAAAAAAAATATATATATATATATATATATAAATGACTATATATTATATGTAAGTTAATTAGTTATAAACTTATGATAATGATATTATTAGTTAGATGTATTATATAATGTATATTAGTTTATGTAATATAATTGATATTATCAATTATATGAATAATTATACATGTCTACTAATAGAATTTATTAATTAGTTATACTAAATTTACTAATACATTTATACTAAATTTCTAATTACACTTAATAGAATAACACTTTTTTCTCAAAAAAAAGCACAAACACAATGATGAATTAGTGATTGCATTTGTACTAAAAGTGAAAATTTGACTATTTTAGTTATATTTATTTATCATATTGGATTGTATTCAAATAACTTCTGTTTGATTGTTTTTATGAGTTTCAATTGTAAAATTACAATGAATAATAATTTGGTGATGTGTTGATATTTTAGTACTTGATTATTTATTAAAATTTAATTATAATAAAATTATATAATAAAATTTTATTAACCCCCGCGGGTGCCCCCGCGGGGGAAGCGGGGCGGGGCGGGGCGGGGCGGGGGGAGCGGGAGGCGGGGGACGGGGCGGGGGACGGGGGGAACTAATAGACAACGGGGCGGGGGACGGGGGAGGGGTCCCCCGCCCCAACCCCGCCCCGTTGCCATCCCTACATGTGAACAATACCATAAGTTTTAGGGATAATTATAGAAATTTCTCTTGAGGTTTTTAATAATTTCATCTAGTACCCTCTTGTTTTAAATATTACACTTATCTCCTCTATTACTGGCAAATTATCACACTAAGCCTCACTTAAGACTCAGTTTACACTAAGCCTCTTGTTTTGAAGCTTTTTCTTTTCTTTCTTTTTTCTTTTAGTGCCTTATTGTCTTGTATAATCTTCTTTTCTAATCAATAAAAAAGTTAATTATTGCTCAAAACAAAAAAGAAAGTTTAAGTACCATGCAAATTTATTCATTACATTTTGTTTTTCTTCTTCTTCTGATTTTTGGCTAGTAGCTTGTGATTATTGTGGTGGTAATACAGATGGCAAAAATGGGTATTATGCTGTTGGTGGTGGTAATAGTTCTAACATTTAAACGAAAGGCATTGAGGTAGTTCTTCTCTTCTCTTCTCTTCCTTTGTGTAGCAAAATCGTACTTGAAATTTGAGCTATTCATAGGGTTGTTACCCAAACAACAATAATAGGGAAGGTAATTCTAATATTCAAAATTGAAGGGGTGTTATGCAAAATTCACATAAACATTAAGGGAAGTTTCTAAAATCATCACTTAAAAAATTTTGAAGCACACTATTGCATTTGAGAAGTTATGTTTTTGGAAATATGAAAACAGATTCAGCCAATAACCTTAAACACTTGAATTCTCATTTTGGTTTCTAAATTGTAAGTTGGGACACTTTAGTTTCTAAACTTTTCTTGATTTCCTTTTGGTCCCTAAACTATAAATTAGGGCATTTAGTCTCTAAATTATGCTCCAATTCTTATTTTGATTCCTAAACTCCTTCTTTCTTTCTAAATTTGGAATTTTTTTTTGGCTACAGTTGCTTCTCACTTGACTAGTCTTCCATTAAGTTTGGGTATTGCATTAGTGATTGTACTTAAATGGCACGAGTTTTACAGTTTAGAGACTAAAATGCCCAAATGTATAGTTTAGGAATTGAAGTGAGCATCGGAATATAGTTAAAGGGTGCAAAATGAAATTTATCCCTTATTATTGGGTACAAATGAATATGCAAGTAAGACACTGAATAAGAAAATCTAGTGCGGGTTAGAATGATAAATATTAGTATCTCAGTTAAAGGCAAAGCCTCTTCCCGGGGAACATTCTTACCTTGGCCCCAGGACCCTGCCGCTGAATTGTGACACAAAGCATGCGTAAGGGCAGAGCCAAGTATCTATTGCCACTCCCACAAACATTTTTTGCACGAGCTCAAGCCCATTGCCGACAATTTCAATCAAAAGAACTTGAAGCATATTTAGAAGTAATAAAGATTGAAACAGCTCAACTAATATCATAAAATTAAGCAAACAGAAGGAAATTATAACTGATTCTAATTATCATCGTGCCATGTATTAATGAATTTTAATAGACACAGCATTGCCAAGACGAGGTTATATCAAAGAATAACACTATGAACATCAATCCCTTTTTTTTTTTTTTTTTCATCAATATGGGGAATGGGAAACCTGTCCTTGACAGTCACCTCATCTTTGGGTCAACTGTTAAGCTTTTATCTGTAGGTTCAAGGGGCAATTACAAAAGTAATCAGTGAACTGAAAACTGTCGAGTATCATTTTATGTTGCTTTTATTAAGCTACAGTGAGAGCACTGCAAGGAAACTACGTACCATTATATCATTTAGGGGTGTGTTTAATAAAACTGAAGTTTGGAAACTGAAGTCTGAAATTTGAAATATGAATTCATTAAATTATTAAATTGTTAATATTAAATCTAATACCTTTGAGTGCATATCATATTTAATAATAAGTGAATAGTTTATCTTTTAATACTGTCGAGTGAACTGAAAACTGTCGAGTATCATTTTATGCTGCTTTTATTAAGCTACAGTGAGAGCACTGCAGGGAAACTACGTACCATTATATCACTTAAAGTACGTTTAATAAAATTGAAGTCTGAAATCTGAATCCATTAAGTTATTGAATTGTTAAATATTAAATCTAATACATTTGAGTGTATATCACATTCAGTATAAAGTAAATAGTTTATCATTCAATTTTGAAAGCAAGTTTTATTTAGAAAATTCAGTGCCACTTAATTAATTCAGATGTTCAATTTTTGGTTACCAAACTGAATATGCTAAGATCTGAATCTCTTAAATTTAAGTGTTAAATTGAGTTATCAAACAAGATCTTAGTTTCATTAATAAGGTTAATAACTACCTAAAAAAAATAGGGCTAATAAGTAATTTAGCCAAATCATGACTATAGAAATTCTTACCCTTTTAACAAGAGAGAACTTACAAAGCCAAAAGACTTGTGCAAAAGTTTGATGGTCTTCAATTTTAACATTAATGGCAGACATATCACTAATGCCATTGTTTCTCTTGTCAATCGATAGCATTTTTTCAACCCATACATACATAAAATGCATGCATTAAACCATAAAGCAACAAAATTTGAAGTCCCAAAACAATATATATATATTCAACGAATTTTGAAATCACAAACCATAAAATGCATGCATGCATGCATTAACGTGTATTAGATCACAACAACGAACTTGAAAAATGAAGACCCCCAAAATCAAATCGAATTCTGACCTCGGCTCACAAATAGCTACCTCCACTTCCCAATTTATTTCCACACCCCAGCCCAATTAGAAAACCTCTGCGGATTAAAGGCCGGCCCAACAATTTTTTAAAAAAAAAACCACACCCACAAAAAAAAATAAAAGCAATCAAAAAAATTGTTTACTCCTCTATCTTTGTTGGCTAAATCCAGTATAATATTTTTTGCTAAAAAAAAAACCCAGTATAAATTTATGAAATTTCCAGACCAGCCTAGTAGGAGACTTGTTATGTTTTTAGGCCTTGGCCATTATTGTAAATTAACTGCAAAGATAAGACCACGTCACATCCTACAACATAAAAGACAAATTTTAAAATAAAAAAAGAGAATCGTAACTACTCTAATAATAAGATAAGAATAAGATGATGAAACCTTAGCAGTGGCGAAAGCGGCTGTGCAAAGCCAATGGGCATAGTGAAAGCGGTGGCTGTTATCTCCGGCGGTGACAGCAACAACAACGTAAGGGGCTCTATCCAATTCCTCCAAGACTTCAATAGTATTGGTATGCTATCCCTCTCTCTATCTCTCTGCCTCTTCTTCTTCACTTTCAGAATCTATTAAGTACAGTAGTATTATTCTGTCTACATAGCCTCAGTGGATTGATTGATTATATGTAACCATGAAGCAGGGGGGGCGGCGACCCTTGTGAAAGGAAGAATAACAGGCCTTACTCCAGGCCTCCATGGCTTCCATATTCATGCTCTTGGTGACACCACCAATGGCTGCAATTCCACTGGTACGTACCACTCCCTTCTTACCATGCTACTCCTATTTCACTATCTCCTTATATGGGTCTCCAACCCCCTAATTCAAACGGGGCGTATGCAATATATGTAGAAGAGTTCAATACTTCGTTTGTCTAAGCTAATTTCTGATTTGAAGTTAAACCATCTGATTTTTAACATGTTACTCTGCAGTTTTAGTTCATTTTATTATGAAAGACTGCATCTTTCGCTCTGTTTTTTTTTTGGGTATCTAAATATATTTACTCAGAATTCCTGCATAGCATATAGGATTAAGTCGTGTAGAGTAGCTAAGCCTTAGGTACAGTGTGAGGCAATTACCTGGGATATCTGAAATGGTTGTTTTCCCCCTTATTGCGGAGGATTCCCAGCCTCTCTTAATTTCAGAAAAAGTTGTATTGAAAATCTGACCATTTTGAGCTCAAGTCCCAAGTTTTTTAATTTGGGCCCTTGCTCCCGCATATGTTTACAGAATAAGGTTGTCATTCTACAAGGTTCTACCCGCGGTAACGATATTATAGGTGACAAAAGATTCATGGGATTAAGGGCCTGGAATAAGTTTGCTTCAGAGATTTGTAATAAGTTTTTCTTCTGTTGCTCTTACGTTTCAAAGAGCCATAATGCTTGATTGAGAGAAAGGACAAACATATACACTGTTTAGAAGGATGCTTAGTCACCCCCACATAAAGGTATCCTTTCTATTAATTAGTTATGTTTGAGGCTGTTGGCGCAGTTGGCTTGCCAAGGAGTATGGTTGCTTTGTGAATGAATGTGTACTGTATGAGTTTAGAATTCTCCTGCTGTTTTATGTATGGCTGTCCTTTTTGTGCATCTAAAGCTGCTAAATAACCAGAAAGAGATGTAATGTGGAGCTGGTTATTACGTTCTCTCATCAGGTTTGTTTAGCTGCTAAATAGCGACTCTTTGAAAGTCTGATATCTGCCCATTTTGTGATGTCAGGGCCTCATTTTAACCCACTAAAAAGGGATCATGGAGCACCATCTGATCAAAATCGTCATGCCGGTGATTTGGGGAATATTATTGCTGGTGTAGATGGTGTGTCATGAAAGACTTGTATCTTTGGAAATGGTATTAGCTAGTCAAACAGGTTTCCTTTTCTTTCTTTTTTTTTTTTTTAAATTTATTTTCTTGCTTTGCAGGGGTTGCTGAGATCTCAATCAAAGACATTCAGGTATGGTATTAGCAAGTTGTTCTGCTGTTTAACAAAAGATAAACTTGTTTCCTTTATCCATCTTTAGATAGTTGTGGCTTATGTCCTAGTTTTCAAGCAATGCTAAAAGGTTGAAATGTATCAGTTAACTTACATGGTGAGGTCTTATTGATGTTAATTAGGGAACTTGACATATAATCCTTTAAAAGCAATGTATAAGAAATGGTTGTCTCTAGTTCAGGATTGTTCTCTTTTTTCTTTTGTCCTTTAATTTTAATATCTTTCAGCTTTTCTTGCTGATAGATTCCACTTACTGGTCCACACTCCATCTTGGGGCGCGCAGTTGTTGTGCATGCTGATCTGGATGATCTGGGAAAAGGTATGTTTATTTGGATTAGGGTATAGAAGGTGATAACTTAATTATTAAACGCTAAATAGTAGTTTTGCAGTTTTGTGTTAACTGTGAGAGAGCATTTTTGACATCTTTTTGCTTGAGTTTCCTTGAAAGTATATGGTGATTTAAAATATATTGAATCTCCCTTGCAGTTCTTCTTGTAGAAAAATTTGATCTGCTGATAAAAGTATAAAACTTTTGCCATTGAAGTGTCTATGTCTTTCAGTCCTTGTCACAAGTTAATTAATATGTGATAGTTTCAGTTCATTGGATTCAGTAAAAAAGGTTTATCTACAACTTGAAATTATTGTGTTGTTGGTAATAATTGAAGCATACAACAGGTGGACATGAACTTAGCAGGACTACTGGAAATGCTGGTGCGAGGGTTGCTTGTGGTAATTGCACTTGCTCCCATTTTTCTACTAGCTTTTTTCACCTTGTATCATCAAATTCTCTCCCCCCCTAGCTGTTTTCTCTGAGCCAGTCATTCTTTCCTCCGCGTGTATGGTATGGTGGCTCAAAATTTGATTTTATGCTGTGCAGGGATTATTGGGATTCAGTCATCCGTCTAGGATTTTGCCCAAGCGGTCATCCTTTCCGTTCTTGAAGATGTTATAGAGCTGCTTGGCTGTTCAATTCAGTGGTCTATCCAAATGGGAAAAAATAATAACAGGAGTTGTAATCAACAACTATAATCAAAATTTTTGGCAAATTTATGATTTTACTAACTATTGCTATTCTCCAATGTGTGTGTGTGTGTGTGTGTGTGTGTGTATGTACATATATTTAGATTTCAATGTTTATTTAGGTTATTTAATAAAAAATTAAAATCACTAAATCGGTGAATCAAAATCTCTTCAGTTGCTTCCAAAGAAAGGACCGGATGTACTGGAGACACTCCAAATCTGGGGTGTATACTGTGAAGTCAGGCTATGCTCTAGCTAAGCAGAGGAAGAAGAAACTCCAGAGCGAAAAAGGAAAGCAAGAGGAGTCGAGTACTGAGCCTAAGAAGGATAAAGTTTGGAAAGGTCTGTGGAACCTGAACATTAAGTATGAGCACAAACATTTTCTCTGGAAATGCTTACAAGCAGCACTCCCGGTTCAAGAAAGCATATTCCACAGAACAAAAATGGGTGATCCTATGAGCAGATGTTGTGGAGATGGTGGGATTCCCTTATAGAAGCATGCAAAGTGGAGAATAGAGCGGGACACTTGGAACTCACAGTCAATATACTTTGGGAAATATGGAAAGCAAGAAACAAATTCATGTTTGAGGGAGAGAGAATCTGGAAAAAATGGAGGACCAACCAAGACAACAAATGATGAACCAAAGATGGACTCCTCTGCAGTGTGATACAATAAGAATTAGCACGGATGCTGCCATGTCTGCAAAGAAGGTCAGAACAGGACTCGGGATAGTGGCAAGAAACTGGAATGGGGAACTAGTAGAAGTGAGGGCAGTGCAGGAACTAAAGAAAGGATGCAGCAATCAAACAGGCTCTGCTAATGGCAAAAGATGCAGGATGGGCGAAAATTGAATTGCAATCTGACTGTAAAAATGTGGTCAACATGATGAAAGAAAGAAGAACTGGGGTCCAGACAGTGACAACTATAGTGGAAGGCATCAATCAGCTAGCAGACTGGTTTTCGGTTTGCAATTTCAATTTTGTCAGTAGGAAAAGGAATTGTCTGAGTCATTATGTAGCAAAATTTGCGTCAACATTAGTGAAGAATGTAATGGGGAAGCTTAGCTTTCCCCTGTGGCTCAAACAAATGGCACAGGATGATCTGATGGGCAGTTGCCCAGATTTGTAGAACTTTTGTAGTACCAAATTTTGTTAATACATGATCGTTTTTGACAAAAAAAAAAAATAAAGAATTTCTAAAACCTGAGCATCAGTTTGTAATGACACCCTTTTTATCACCAATTTATTTAATCAGAAGACCACTTATTTCACATAAAATTTTGTTAAACAATCTCCCAAATTCGTAATGAGCCCACAAGTAAATTCCAGGTTACTTGCCTAGATTAACTTTAATTCCGTAATACACTACCAAAATCCAACAAGATGCAAAATACTTTTCTTCCTTATTGTCACCATCTAAACAGTCAATTTAAACCCCACACTGTGACCTCCTTAGACAACAGTCAAATCTCTGCACGGTTCCACTAATTTCTTCCATGTAGACTGGTCCAAAAAACAACTTCCAAATGAACCATGGGGTGCAATATGCTTTCTTTTAAATCTTCAAATTATCTAGACCCTGAGTTTTGGTTTCTGATTAACCTTTCTTTCTTTTCTGCATTTGTTTCACCAGAGCACTACTTATCTACCATAAAACTATTGAGAATGGTCCAACATTATAACAAACCCACAAATAAATTCCAAATAACTCATTTTCATTACATACAATCCAACATAATCTCAAAATCCAAAAAGATGCAATACATAAATCCTAGTATCCTGATCTGAATATTCAATTTAAATCCTAAAATCCAATGCATTTACATAAGGATCCTATATTTGCAATCAAAGGAACTAAGCTCTGCACAATCAAACAGACTTTTTAATAAAATTAGTATGCTCTTGTTACTTATTGCAATAAACCCAGTAGAATGGTAAAAAACAACCTCCAAATGAACCTTGGGTGTTATATGCTTTCTGGTAATTCTTGGGATTTTAGAAACTATGAGCCAGTTTCTAGTAGACCTTTTTTTCTTTTCTCCATAACACTACTTATCAACCATAAAACAGTCTGACAATATTCCAGATACTTAACAACCCAAATAGATGTAATTCACCATCATGAGATAGAATCCAACAAGCACATATAAACCATCTGAATATTCAAGTTAAACTCTAAAAGTGCAACGCCCTTACATAAGAGTCATATATTTGCCATAAAGGAACTCAACTCTAGATAAATCTACCAACCCATAATAGAGGCTGTAGAATCTTGTTACACTTTGCCATAAAGCCTGTAGAATGTTAAAAAACAACCTATAATAGAACCTTGCTGCAATATGCTTTCTTCTAATTCTTGGGACATTAGAACCTAAATATCAGTTTCAAATTGACCTTTTCATCTTTCCTGCAGAACACTACTATGTTTTTAACAATATTTCAGGTCTTTAACAACCCAAATAGAGTCCGAGTAACTCACTTAGATTAAATTAGAGTCCAACAATGTTTTAGAATCCAACAAGATGTGCATGTACTTTATTCCGCCTTCCACCCATTTGACTGCTCAAATCAAATTCTAAACTTCAACAACAATGCATAAGAGTCCAATATATGCCAGCAAAGGATGAAACTCTGCACAATTCACCTAAGTTTTTACCAAGCCTAGTTAGTTTGTTGAGGTTTGCTTGCTGCCTTAAACTGAAAACAGCCTCTAAATGGACCTCGGAATAGCTTGCTATTGTAAATCTACAGCATTTATAGAAGCTGATTTGAAATACCATTTTTGTTTTATCCATTAATTCCAGCACAATACTACTTATCTACAATAAGTCATTGACAATACTCAAAATTTGTACAAACCCACAGATAAAATACCAAGTAACTCACCTAAATTACATAGAATCCAAAAAGATGCAATACTAGTTCCTCATGTCACCATCTGGACATTCAAGTTAAATCCTAAAGTGCAGTTTCCTTGTCTACAAGTCCTCTAATTGCTTGTAAAAGGACCAAACTCTACACAACACCAGCAAACTTATAATCTAAAAACTATCTTATGCCTTGTAGAATGGTAAAAAGACAGCCTCCAAATGAACCATGCTGCAATATGCTTTCTCGTGGTTCTTTAAAATTTCTAAACCTTTAACTTTCAGTTTCTAATTGACCTATTTTTCTCTTCTCCAGTAGACTACTCATCTACCATAAATGCTTGTAAAAGGACCAAACTCTACACAACACCAGCAAACTTCTAATCAAACTCAGTATGTTCTAAAAACTATCTTAAGCCTTGTAGTATGGTAAAAAGACAGCCTCCAAATGAACCGTGCTGCAATATGCTTTCTTGTAATTCTTTAAAATTTCTAAACCTTTAACTTTCAGTTTCTAATTGACCTATTTTTCTTTTCTCCAGTAGACTCATAAAATTCCTTGACAGTATTCCAGATTTTTTATGAATTCAAATAGAATCCAAGTCACTCACCTAGACCAATTAGAGTCCAACAAAATTTTGGAATCCAACAAGATGCAGCATACACTTTGTTTCAACTATTGCCCATATGAATACTCAAATTAAACGCTAAAGCAAACTTATAATCAAACTCAGTGTGTTCTAAAAACTATCTTAAGCCTTGTAGAATGGTAAAAAGACAACCTCCAAATGAACCGTGCTGCAATATGCTTTCTTGTGATTCTTAAAATTTCTAAACCTTTAACTTTCAGTTTCTAATTGGCCTATTTTTCTTTTCTCCTGTAGACTATTCATCTACCATAAAATTCCTTGACAGTATTCTAGATTTTTGATGAATTCAAATAGATTCCAAGTCATTCCAGATTTTGGAATCCAACAAGATGCACCATACACTTTGTTTCAACTGTTGCCTATATGAATACTCAAATCAAATGCTTAAGCTAATCAAATGCTTATGCTAATCAAATGCATACGAGTTCTATACTTGCCGACCAAGGACAAAACTCTGCATGCTTCACCTAACTTCTTACTAAGCCTACTAAGTTCTGGTTACCCTTTGCCTAAAACCTTGTTAAAAAAAATCTCCTAAATGGACCTTGGTACAATATGCTTTCTTGTAATCTTTGGAATTTCTAGAAGCTGAGTTTCATATTCGATATGCCATAATTATTTTCTCCATTTATTTCACCACTGTACTCCTTATCAACCATAAAATCATTGCCAGTACTCAAAACTTGTAACAAACCCACATATATATCCCAAGAAACTTGGATAGAATCCCTAAAGATGCAATACATAGTTCCTCGGTCACCATCTAGACGTTCAATATAAATCCTGAAGTGCAATGTCCTTGTATATCAGTCTTCTAATCGCCTGCAAAGGATCCAAACTCTGCACAACACTAGCAAACTTCTGACTAAACTTTTTCTGTTCTATTTGATCATTGCCTTAATCCTTGTAAAATGGTGATAACACTCTGCACTAAGCTCTATTTGATCACTGCCTTAATCCTTGTAACAACACTAGCAAGCTTCTAACCACACTTACTATGTTCTATTTAATCATTGCCTTAAGCCTTGTAAAATGGTAAGGGCAAAAAAAAACCCCCCAAATTACTTTTTTCTTGCAATTCTTGGGATTTCAAAAACCGAAGGTTGAGTTTCTAATTGACCTTTTTTTCTCCTGAGCAGTACTTATCTGAAATCTATTGACAATATTCCAAATTTTTAACAAGCCCAAATACATTCCAAGTGACTCACCAAGATTAAAGAAAGAGAGTCCAACAAAATCCCCGAATCCAATGAGATGCACATATACTTTTTTCAACTAGTGGTAGAAAGTCATTAAATGAGAGTCCAATATTTGCATGCAAAGGACAAAGTTCTACACAATTCACCTAACTTCTTACTAAGCCTGGTATGTACTGGTACTCTTTGCTTAAACCTTGTACAATCGCAAAAACCAAACCTCTAATGGACCCTCTTACATTATGCTTTCTTGTAAATCTCTATAATTTCTAGAAGCTGAGACTCAGATTTGAATACCGTCATCATTTTCTCCACTAATTTCACCACAAAATTACTTACCATAATATCATTGACAACACTTAAAAATTAGTAACACGCCCATAGATAAATCCCAAGTAACTCATCTAAATTAGATAGAATCAAGAAGATGCAATACTTAGTTCCTTGTGTCACCATCAGGATTTTCAATTTAAATCCCAAGTAACTCATATGCAAAGGAACCAAACTCAGTACAAAACCAGCAAATTTCTAAGCATAATTGTTTCCTTAGCAGCAAACTCGGTACAAACGGGTAACTCTCGGCCTTAAGCCCTGAATAATGGTGAAAATGCAACCTCCAAATGAACCTTCCTGCAAATGCTTTCTTGTAATCGTTGGGATTTCTAAAACCTAAGTTTTAGTTTCTAATTCACCTATTTTCTTTTCTCCGGAAAAGTACTTATCCACCATAAAATTCATTAACAATATTGAAGATTTTTAATAAACCCAAACAGATTCCAAGTAACCCATCTAGATTAATTAGTCCAACAAAATCTCAACATCCAAGAAAACATGCTTATACTATTTTCAGCCCGTCGTCCATTTCAATACTCAAATCACACGCTAAAGTGCAACATCACTGCATGAAAATCCTTTAAATGCTCGCAAAGGACAAGTCTACACAATTCACCTAACTTCTTACTAAGCCTAGTATGTCTGGTTACTTTTGCCTTAAACCTTGAAGAATGGTCAAAATCAACCTCTAAATGGACCTTGATGGAATATGGTTTTTTCTAAATCTCTGAAATTTCTAGAAGTCGAATCTCTCTGTTCTCTTCACCCCAGTGCTACTTATTTACCATAAAATCATTAACAAAGCTCAAAATTTGTAAAAGAAAAACCCACGGATAAATCCCAAGTAATTCACCTAAATTAGATAGAATCCAAAATGCAATACGTCCTTGTGTACAAGTCCTCTAATTGCCTGCTAAGGAACCAAACTTTGTGCAGCATCAACAAACCTCTAAACAAACCTAGTATTATTTGGTTAATCACAGCCTTAAGCCTTGTAGAATGGTTAAAAAGACTCCAAATGAACTTTGCTGACTTGCAATTCTTGGGATTTCTTAAACCTAACTTTCTGTTCTAAATGCCTTTTTCTTTTCTCCATTTGTTTGACCAGAACACAGCTCATTTATCATAAAATTAATTGGC